GATAGATTCAAAATTCTTTATCTAATTTCTTCTTTTCTTTATCTAATTCCTTCTTATTATCTAATTGTATAGAAATCTATTCTGATTTTGTTCAATCCTCTAATTATATTTGTATTATATCCCATCAAATCGGTTTAACAAAAAAAATCTCATAACATCCGATAAGTAAAAAAAAAGTACGTGAAATCTTTACTAAATAAAAAAGGCTTTATTTATTATCTAATTTATTATCTAATTGTATGGAAATTTGTTCTGATTTTATAGTACGTACTACAAATTGTGCACCCGTGTTCAGGAGCTACTTAACGGGCAAGCTCTGCGGAAATAACTCATTTATTGCTTATGTCCCGTGCATACGGTATGTATTTGTATTACACATACTAGAAAATTGTACACCCCGTGCATCGCACGGACTCTGTACTAATAAATGACCTTAAAATTGTATACCTAGTGCATCACCCGTGTTCACATTTTGGCCTATTACATGTCACATACTATATATATCCCGTACATTTTTCTTTATTCATTTATATAATTATAAAACTTGATAAATTACCTTAATTTTGTGCACCCCGTGCATCGCACGGGATCTGTACTAGTAAATATATAATATACACACTTTTTTCGACCAATCAGTGAGTGGAGGAATAGTAGATTAAAGTTGATGTGATGTGTAAAAACAATTGGTTTGTATTATTTTATTATATGAATAATATTAAAGATAGTGGAGTTGGGTTAAAGTTGAATTAAATTTTGAGTTGAAATAAAAATGAGTAAAATAATTTGTAAACAATCAAGCCCTAAGACTCTAGTTCTTTTTTTTTTTTTGGTACAAAGATGGAGACTTAACGCCTGGGGTCTAAGAGACTATAACACGACGTGGGTGAGCCACGTCTCGAAGATCATGTTCAAGCCATGCATCCAAACCAAATGGGGGGTGAAGACAACCTTTGCAACCCTAATGTGGAAGATCCCGCAATTGCAGCCAAGTAGTCAGTCGCAAAATTAGCTTCTCGATGCACATGTTGGATATGGACGCTCCAATCTCTATGGATTAAGTTCAGAATGGCACGAACTAGTGACTCATAGGTGCCAAAATGGGCATTGAGATGACCCTGTTGGTATTTGTGCCTCAAATGAGATGAATTTTCGATGACTCAATATTCTCAATTCTCTTGCCCAATTCCTTTTGCCATGAGCCCAATTTTGGCACACTCGACCATGGTTGTTCGTATTAAGTGTTTTGATCCAGACCATTCATTGCCCTCTTTTAATACAATCCTTGGTACCCCTATTTAGAAGGTGGTATTATTCTAATTTTCTCAGTACACGCAACTTTTTGGTCTCTCTCAACATTCTGTTTTGTACACTCTTTCGCCCTTTCTCGACTTTGTGTCCAATCGATACGACCTTTTGCTTTTCTTCGAAATCTCTGTGATAATGGGAGCGAGGATCCTGTGCTCGACATCCTTCGTGTATTTTAGGTGGGAAATATTCGAGGAGGTTTTTGAGCGGTTTCGAGCCAAGCTTTTGTGCGATGGTTGGTGGAGTTACCTTTGGGCTTGTAGTATCAGAGTTATTGTGGCCACGGGTCCATTAATCGGTTCTTTACTGAATGAGGAGTTGACCAAAGAGGGCTGAGCCTGGTCATATTCGACCATCTTCGTGGCATTCATGGCAATCAGTCCCTCGTACAAGAACTCGGTGAAGGGTGTATTCTTTCTTATTTATTTTCACTATTTTTAAATTATTTTGCTGTTTGATTGCTTAAATTTGACTTAGTTTTGAATAATATTTGTTTTCAGTTTGATGCGAGATATCAGGACGTTTTCGGAACAAACCCGGTGCAGTTCATGATCAAACGGGTGTTGTCCAGGACCTAACAAAGGTTGTTTGGGGCCTAACAAAGGTTGTTCGGGACCTATCGGGGTTAGACCGGTCCCGATGAAACAAGGCAGACGACCACCCAACATACCAAATTCGAACTCATTTAGTTAAGACCCAGGCTCAGATTGAGGTTCATTTAAGGTTGAGAAACGAGAGATTTTACTTAATTTTGTTAGCTATTGCCTTAGTTTGACGGGTTATGAGTTGAGCTCAACAAACTTATGAAAATTAATTAGCATAACTCAAGCTCAATTATCAAGTTGATGAGTTTTTTTAAACGATAATTATATAAATAACTCAAAAAGAGTACAACCAAGATTTCAAATGACACCACAAAAACCAAAACAAAGTTTGGAATCTTCATTGGTGTTACACATTCAACCAATGGGTTAAGAACAAAAAAAAAAAAGAAAAAAAAAAAACTCTATAATGAGACTAATTGACAAACTCCATTTAGGAGACTAAGAAAATCAACAAAGGAGACTAATAAACCCAAAAAGGAATCAACAACACACACTTACAAACAATAGAATATAACATCTCCTACTTCTTGCGGGCGCACCGTAGCCCACCGGAACGAGCGAATCCCCACAACAAAAAAACCCAATAGAACTGCAAATTAATGTGAAACCACATAACCAAAACTGCGAGCTTA